CGAAAAGCTGCTCGGAAGTCACTCTTAAATCTTTTCTCTCAAAAATGTTGCTCTAATTCTGAAGCAGACACGCAGAGGAGCAATAGAGCAGCATGAAATTAGCTTAGAGAAGAGGAACAAGGCTATACACAAAGCCGCTCTTAAGCTGTTTCTCTACTTTTTGAGTGAGCTTTTGCTCGCAGTAGAAGCAGAAGGGAAGAGCAACAATAGAGCAGCTTCGATTGAGCCTAAAGCAAAGAATCAATGGATCAGCATTAGAATGAGCGGGAGAAAGGGGAGACAAAATAAGCTTTCGCTCTTCTTTCCAAGTAAGCTGGCCAGTACTAACGGAGCAGCAAGCACGAGAGAGAGAGATAAGAGAACAGATTTGCGACTTGTTGGCGCAAGCTTTTGTTACTCATCCGGCTCCGCATTATTTATGTGATAAAAAGAAGTGAAGTTAAATAAAGGTAACGATAATGCCAGAGGGCTCCTATATTTGTTACCTTCGGTAACGTGAACGAAGCTGCTCTCAAACAATGAGTTATATTAAGAGAGAGTACCTACAGTTTGAGGAGAGAAAAAGAGATTTTTCGATGATGAAAAACGATTAAATCACACACACGATTCCTATGCCAAAGGGTAAGCTCCAAGGTATCCCCTTAAGCCTTTGCCTAATTATGCAAGTCATAATTGTTCAAATTGAATAAGAAACAAAACTCCCTGCTCATAAATATGCATTTTATTTGACGGCTTTAAATAAATTTAGCAAATACCCGGAGAGAAAGACCGCTAAGAGAGTATGCCACCCTAAGAGACCGAGCAACTTTGGCACAATTCTTAATTAGCTTTATGAGTTTTCCAGTTTTCCACTATGTCCGTCGGCCACCTGTCTCAATTCCCATGCGTGCGGTCAGCCAGGTGTCCTAGGACCCGGGCCTAGGCCAAAAACTGACTGAACTTTTTTTTGTTTCCAACTGAGAAAATATTATGCGAAAAATTATATTAAAACTTTGTCGAGTGAGTGGAGGCCTTTGTTAAACTTTTCACTGTAGCAGGCAGCATGTGGGAATCGGAGTCCGCGCCAAAGAAGTGAGTGGAAGTTCAGGAAGGAGTCCGAGGAAAGACCTATCAATAGCAATGGCAACAATGGCCAATTTGTAGCAAGGTTCTTGAGGCGCATAAATTAAACCTTCGCCCTCTAATTGGACCAGTCCATCCAGTCCTCCTGTCGCTCCTTCCTTCTGCATAGAAATGACGAGGACGACGACGATGGCGACACTTGAAATCAAAATTCATGACCGAAGGTGCGGGGAGAAAGTCCAGGGCGGGGGGTTTGCACGTGGGACTTTGTACCGGTGGTGTTTTAATCTTGGAATATATTCCTAAAGACTTTTGGGTCTGAAAAGTGCTTGGCCATCGCTTTTTTCCCCTCAAGAAGCGCCGCTGGAAAACGCATCGTGTAACAGCAGAAGAGTACTAGCACGAGTGCGAGTGCGAGTGTATGGGAGGGAAAATTGTAGGGAAATGTCCGCAGCTTGTTTGCATTGGGCGTAGAGCGAAAAGGCAGCAAGGCGTAACATGCGATAAAATTGAGTTGGAAACGTGTTTCAAATCTAAAATTAACAAACTGTCGGAGAGAGTCAGTCGCCGGAGAGTCCGTCCCGTGCCCGACTAAATGTCCTGCGACGCAGAGCCTAGTCCTGCATGTAAATGACTTTTTAATGATGCCCTACAGTCCGTCTCGGCTACATTGAAATCCTCTTGCTGGCAGTACTCCATCTCCATCTGCACCCCATCCCCAATGTCCCCTCCATGCAGGTCTCATTCGAGTGTCATACCCTGTAGGTCGGCCCCTGCCTAATTGCTGACATAATTTCCCCCTGTTTTTCATGTTTCTCCTGGTTTTTTTTCCCTTCAGCACTTTAATAGTTTTCTTTTTTCGCGCCATGTTTCCCCGGGTATTGGTTTCATGTAAATGTGGAGCGCCTGATTAGCGCTAGTCATGAATTTCAATTTGCCTCTTAATTAATTGTTGTTTGAAAATTCTTTCGCGTGCTAATGGCTGTCCCTGTCCAGGACGAGTATATCTGCTTAAAATTGTTCCATAATTGACTTGACAATTGTTCGAGAGTGAAGGATAATTGCAGTCACTGGGATTCCCTGGTAATTATTACAAGCACCATTGTAATGTGAAGAGAAAGTTCAATGTGGAATTAATTGGAGCAATACAAGGAATGAGGGAGGTTCGTTTTCAAAAGTATTTCAAGCATTTGAAGGAAGTACGAATTTTGTAGAGCAACGTATCACTACAATCCAATCAACACACACTGATATATAAACACTGGTTATCCTGTTACAATTTCCACTTTGTCTATGCAACATATTCGCCGCAACATTATCATCAACCATTTGAAAAGTCAATTTATACAATTGTACCAACAAATAGGGTTTAACCAATTTTGTAAACCAATACGGTACAAAAAAGATGGGTGGGTGGCTGGCAAATAACAATTTGCTGAGGAAAAACACCAGAGTGGAGAAGCTCCGAAGCTCGGACAACTGCAGAGGACAGGAAAACTCAATAAGATTTCAATTGTTGTTCCGGTCGATGATGGCATCGTCGGATGGGAGGAGGAGCAAAAGAGTGCTCTGCCCATTTTCATTAGACTTTCAACACTGGCACTGGCACTGGCACTTGTGTGAGTGTGGGTGTGTGGGTGGGACGGTGTGTGTTGTAAAGTCACAAAATTATATTGTTCAAAATAAAATAAAGCATGTTTTCGGTAGAGCTTCAAGTGGGAGAAGAGAAGTCTAGAGATTTGGGGAGTGCAAAACCCGAAATGCAAACAAACAAAGCCAAAGGCCTAAAGTTCATTTGCACAATTTCCCAGCTCTTGGCCGTAGTTCGTAGTAGCTGTAGTATAGTACTGCCCCTGAAATACACTCCATTCCTCCCCCGCCTTTGGCCAAAGTCAAAGGCCGTGTGCGCACAGGCCTTAGCAAACAAAAAGACCAAAAAGACGTTGGCAATCCTTTTGATGAGGTCAACGTTGGTTTGGTTTCCTGTCCACACATACACGCACACAGTCGCCCACACGCCTCTCATATGCGAGTGGACAGTGGAACGAGATGTTCCATAAGTGCGGCAGATCTATTTCTCTATGTACCCTGCTTTCTAGGGACTCTTCAAAGCAGGATATAGCAGGTAAATCTAAAGACTAAGGGCGCTGCTCCATGCCGCGTGACACCCAAAATTTAATCAGAAGATACGTCTCTGTAGTTCTGTCTAGATCCCAACACACTGTGCCATTTGACCAGGCCGAATGCTTACTTTTCTATGTGTTTGTGTGTGCTACAGATAGAGAGATGAGAATGATGATGATGATGGTGATGGCGATGGCGAGGAGAGAGGCAGTCTGTCGATGGATGATGTCTGGGCAATAGAGGCAAGCGGTGTATTGAGGCCGACGCATTGGCAGGATTAAATTTGGAAGGTATTGAAGCATGTTATTCGTCATCAATGTAGTTTGCACTAACTAGTTTGTGTTGCTGCTGCTGGTGCTGCTGGCTTCTACTGTTGCTGTAGCCGAGCAGAGCTGTTTGTTTTCATCTTCTTAATGCTGTTGTTGCTTTTGCATGGCATGTTATTGTTGTCAGAGAGAGAGGGAGAGAGAGTCGATAGTGGAAGACCAGAGAGTGGGTGTCTCAGAGTCTCCGTCGTCGTTTCCTTGTTGTTTGCATTGTTTACGCACTTTCGCCTTGATATTATTGTAGTGTGCATTTCGGCTTGATAGTCACATGACCAGGAACAAGGAGTAATGGCCAGATTGAACAGCCACCACCACACCAGCGTCGCACCCGCACCCAACCCCCCGATTCTACTCAATTGACTGGGAGTAAAGCTGAATGCATGATTGGACTTCGTGGTTGTGGCAATATCCGAGGATATCTGGTCATGTCAAGAAATAGAGTTAGATGTTTGGATAGATAGATGGATAGATAGATAGATAGATAGATAGATAGATAGATAGATAGATAGATAGATAGATAGATAGATAGATAGATAGATAGATAGATAGACAGTTAGTTAAATAGGGGTTCAATCTTCTGTGTACTGATTGATTTTTTAGATTTATCTTTTCGTTTCAGAATAAATGCTGGTAATTTTTATATCTTTTGTTTCTATCCCCGGCTCAAACGCTGCGCTTGCTCGCGCTGATATGAGCAAAATATCGGAGCGACAAGGCTCTACCTCTAGATTTCTGAAGAATATCTGAATGCCATCAAAATAATCTTTGTATCTTCAAGTGTGCCTTCCATCTTTCTTGTTCCTTTCTTTTGGTTTTTTCCGTGTTCTAATCCACTTTATTCTCTCCTTTTCTTTGGCAATTGTTCAATGCCTCGCACATCACTCATCATCATCGCGCATGGGGAGTCTGCTGCCTCTCTCCCTGCCCCTACGATTCCCACCTCCTGGTTATTGATCACTCGACATCAGTGTGATAAATATCTGGTCGGTTCATTGTCTGAGCATAAACCCCGTACACACCGATTGCTCCAATGACCCCAAGCGACACCCCCTATCCTTTGCACATGTCTTTGTCTTATGCTGAATGGTCGTCGGGTTCCCGTCCCCTGGTTTTCTCCATTGCATTATTTATGGGCACAGCAAGCGGCCCTCTCGAGGGATTGGAGGGCTTTCATTGTTTTAACCACTAAACACGAGGCGATTTATCTTTCGACTGGCACTTCCTTTTTTTTCACCTTTTATCTCAGGATGAAAGATAGTGAAAGATGATTCTTTTCTTATGCAAAAAAAGGGGGGCCTGGAGGAGCGGGTTCTTCCAGGATTCTGTGAAGTCTAATAATGGAGTTTTTTTTGTTATCTTATGATTAAGATAGTGCCTCTAGAATTGTTTTATGATCAGTAGCCTAAGCTCCATTTTGAATTTTTGTATTTTTTTTAGAGATCTAAGGAAACGAAGGAATTTTGTTCTTCAATTTTTATATATTTTTTAAATTATTTTTTTACTGCACCCATGGTTGAGGATTTATATACAGCTTTGAGATTGTGCCACGCAACGAGTCGAAGCCCTGGTTCATTGGCACCGGCTTGGGCTTCGTGTGGACGGTGCTGAACCACTTCTTAATCGCCATTTCGGACTGTCTCTGGCGATGGAATAGATCCTCTTCGTGCTTAATCTTCGCCAGTTGTTCCTCCTGGCGCTTGGACCTCTGCATCTGGATCTTCTTCAGACGCCAGTTTTCAAGCTCCAGATTGATCTCCTCCTTGGATATATTGCGAACTGGTTTGGCAGCGGCGACCACTGTTATGGGATTACTCTTCAGCGAAAAGCTGGCATTGAGAGCCGCTACCTGTATGTGATTCTGAACGCGTTGTGCCTCCTCCTCACGTTTCTTGTTTTTCAGCCACATCTGGTAGACCATCTGTGATATTTCCTTACGCTGAGCCGCGTAAAAATCCCTGGCGGCGCGTTCTTCCATCTGTCGGTACTGCTGCTCCTTGCGCTGCCTTCGCTTGCATGCCAGCCAGTCGTCGTAGGTCCAGGCCCAGGGCTTCACATTTTCCTGCTGGAACCATTAGGATTAGAATGGGAAATTCGTTGGGGAGTGGATCGTACCTTAAGATGATTTTCTTCCTGAGACCTTGGGGAGTTTGGTGTTCCCTTCTGCGATATGGGACTCCTTATGTTTGTGGGAGTATCGCCATCCTCATTCTCAGGAACTGATGCGACCGATGTTGAAGTGCGCAGATGAGATTTATGCATCAAATTCAAAAGTTTTTTCCTGGTGCGGAGCTCATCAGATGTCGGATCGAGAAGTGACCGCTTCTTTTTGGATATACATGAATCCGGGGACGATTCAAATATTGATATATGGACATCTGACGACCGTTGTCTCGTCATGCGATATCCCCCAGGAGATGCGTCATCAGAGGAAGCGCATTCAGATATTGGTGAAAGGGAAATCATGAGATCGTTATTCATGTCCTCACCATACGATGACAGTGGAGAAAAATTAAAATTCGGTGATTCCTTAGTTTTCATGAGTTTCGATCCATTAAACCCTTCATCCGTCGATGTCGACTTGCAGCTCTCCGACGATTGCTTCTTCCTATTCATACGAGGATCTTTGTTTAAAGTACCACCTGACGATGATGAAGATTGAGGAATCCGGGTCTGCAAGGATTGGTTGGCCTTTATGCGGCTAATTCCACGAAAGACCGCTTTTGAATATGGAGAGGACATCGGTTTCTGCATCACTGGTGATCGCTTCATGTTCATGCGAGAGTCCTTATTACATGTCCGACCTGGCGATAAAGAAGACGAAGATTTGCGGGTTTTCTTCTTGAGGTTACTACCAGACGATGATGAGGCTGGAGATTTGCGGGTCTTCCCCGATCGCTTAATCTTCTTTGGAAGATTCCCATACGGAGATGGTTGGGATTTGTGGATCTCTGATCGCTTAATTATTCGGAAGGTTTTTCCAGGCGTTGATGAGGCTGAAGAATTTTTGGTATCCAGCGATCGCTTGACGCTTTTACGAGGATTCCCACACGATGGTGAGGACCCTGGGGAACCCGTTTTTATCTTCTTTATGCGCTTCTTCTTCACCTCTTTACCCGATGATGATAATGGAGACGATTTTTGGATCTTAACGCTCAAACTATGATCCTTGTGAAAGTCCTCCTTAGGCCGCCTTTTCTTCCTTCCAATGCGATCAGATTTTGGGGTCAATTGGAATGTACATCCGGATATGGTCGGTGATCTTTGCGAAGTTCCCCCCTTAAATCGATCAGATAGTATGTCAGATTTTTCAGAATGACACTTCCCCTTTGCTGTCTTCAACTGAGTCGTTTTTATCCCCTTGGTGAGTTCACTGAAGGGAATAAAGTATCCCTTGGCATTGACTCCGCCATGGAATGCCATTTCCCGAGTATTTCAATTCCTGTAGGGTAGGGGAAATTAATTTCTGTCTGTTTTTGGGGTTTCATTGATTGATGAATGATATGCTACTTGGTAACAGGTTTCCAAATTATATGGAGGCAGGGGGTTCAGATGGGGGATATGGGACTACGTTGTTGTTGGGACTACGGCTCCGCTAGTTTTGTGGTGGATTTTCAAAAGTTTGATGGGTCTCCTATAGTCGGTACTTTACAACTTTAGCCACTCTGCTGTTTGTGCTTGTTGTTTTCTTTGTGCCTGAATTGCTGTTGTGACCTGTCGCTGCTTCCGATTCTCATATAAGCCGCCTATCAATGCGGCTCCATAAAATATTTGCCATGGCACTCAGTGAGGGGGAGAGAGGCTGAGCGACCGACAGGTATTCACACAATTAAACCGGCAGCCATGCCAATCGCCAATCGCCCTTTTGCATATGCAACGAGCAAATTTTAATTACAATGGCCAAAAGCAGAGAAGAGCAGAGCAGAGGCAGGGGCAGGTCCAGAGCCAGAGCCGATCCTACCCGTGTGCTCGGAAAAACAACAACAGAACAGGGGACAGGACAATATATAAAGAATACCTTGACGATGGCGATGGCGGCTGCGGACGGTGTAAACCTCAGTTGCCGACACATCAGTAAATGGCGGCGGCCCATTGACATTTCCGCTGATTACTTTATGGCCAAACACATGTACAGACCCACACACACACACACACAGCCGCGACACACATTCATACGACAGGGAGGCCAATGCATAACGCTCCGACGCCTGTCCCAACATGACATGACATTTCAACGCCCCACCCGCAGAGCCACTGCCCCAGAACCCATCCTTCCATCAGATCTGCCCCCCTCTCCTGCATAGACTCGTCTGCATCTCTCGAATGGGGATCTCTTGGTTATGGGTCCCTCCTGCAACCTTGGCGGGAGGGTATAATTACTTTGTAATGATGCTTGTACTTGCACTAACGTGAGCCATGGCTGTGGAGTGCGGTTATATGGTCTTTATAGTTTTTAAGGATATTTGGATTCGATTTTAATTAATCGGAAAAAACATATATACATAATTTATGATCAAAAAAGTTTATTTATAGTTTATTTATTCAAAGGATCTATTTCAGATAAAAAAGATATATATTTATTCGTCGAGTTAGATATCTTTTAAAAAATTTTTAGGAACTTATTAGCGATTACAATTTGTGTTTAATCATCATAAAAATACATTTAGTTGTAGTTTTTACACAAAAAAATTATAAAGGAATATTTTCCCTTTTAAAACACAAAAATAATTCACACATAAAAACTCCCTTCCCAATGATAGGCACGTTGCCGTCTGCTAAAGTAAAATTAGGGTATCAAGCTCTCTAATTAGGGTATCATCAGATCCTGTTCATGAATCCTGTGGCTGAGTGGCTGTGGCTATGGCTGGGGCACACAAACACAGAGATGCACCCGTGGACACGGAGCCGAATGCCGAAAATCTCCCAAATTTAATGACAGACTAATTATGCGTGCAAATGGTTTATAAATATTTTATAATGTCCGGGTGACCCTGACTTCAAGGCAGCAGAATACCTGCTGGTCCCCCCGCCCCCACCACACTTGTCCGTTCATTGTATGCCATTTGGCTTTTCCATTGTGCGTGAGTGGGGGTGTGTGTGTGTATCTGTGCTTTGCGCATCGCTGATTGCATTGCGGTTTTACGACTTCATTATTGTTAATTATACGCCACGTTACCAGCCTCCTGCCCCTACTCCTTCTCCTCCTTCATGGTCCTGGTCCTAACCGAAACGAACCGAACCACAGTGGAAATTCCTATATGCCCTCGCCGCACTACCCACAATGCCCAACTGTCAAATATTTCATTGTGTATATATCCACAAAAATATGACATTGCGGGCACCGAGCACCACGAAACCTAATTGGAAAGTGGAGGGGAAAGTCCTGGACATACATGTATTGCGACTGCGATTACTAATTTTCCCCCCCACCATGGGAGTGCAGTCTATGAATTATGGCTTGGAAAATGAAGGTAATGAGGAAATCTTATTAGTTTATGTTTTGTTTTTGTGATCAGTAAAGAGGGGATAAATATTACGATCACAATTTGGGGACTGCAGAGGCTTGAAAACAAGTTACCCATGAAACTATCTACAAACTGTACTTTTTATACTCACCTGATAATTTATGTAATTTTATTTCATACAAATATATTTTTTAGCTGCGATGTTACCGTGTCAAAAACGGGTATTGAGCTTGTATCCAAATGTGTTCCACTATATATTTTTATGTTTTAAATAATGTTTTCTGAATCACTTCTAGGTTAAGCAAGGCCTACTGCCTCGACTGTTTCAAAGCAGCAACCGAAAATTTCGGTTTTTTTACTCGCTCACTTTGTATTGGATTTTCTGGTGGAGAAAAAGAGAAAGAAACAAGGAAATTTGGTTTTTGAGGATCCGAATCAGATTGAAAGAGGATAAAGGAGCATAAAGCATAAGGAGGCTTGAGTATAGCTATGATTTAATGAATACTTTGGATTCATGCAGGGCACTCCTTCCTCTACTATTTTACATTAGTTTGAACATTGCCGTGTGCTATTTTTAAGTAGAATTTTCAGTCTAATTGAGCTTTAATTAATTACTTAACTAAAAGTGTGCAAATATTTGTAATATACAAAACGGAATTCCATTTATTTAATGGGAAAAAAACATTAAAATAAATTAGTTTAATGAAAACCTGTTGATGGGGGAGCCAAGGAGCCGAAGGATATTTACCAGAAAATCAGCAACAGAATTCAGATGCTCAAGGACGATACTAATTAAGTGCCTTTGCGATGCATGAAACGGAATCACAATAATGTCATGGCTCTCTCTCACTCACACCCACACTCGTTCCATATCGTAAGGCTGGCATTAAATGTCATAAGCCTTGAAAATGATAATGCATAAATGTTAACAAATTTCACAGCCATGCCAGGCCTTCAACCTCTTCAGATTTGAGCATTAAATTCATTTCACATGCACGACAATAGACAGACGACAATGGATGCGACTTCTAGTAGGCCTGGTCCTGGTCCTGCCACTGGTCCTGCGTCTGGCTCCTCCTCCTTCTCGTTTCGTGCTGCTGCTGATGCCAAGATTTTGATTTGAAAATTGTAAATGCGGTCACGTATGTTATTATATCAAATATCTTTCATGGTTATGTTTATACGCTTACATTTGTTGCAGCCAAATGTATCGTACCGTCCCCTTCCTCCCGTTCTCCTCCCATTTTGCCACTCAACAAATTGACTTTTGAAACTGTCGCACATGGAATACATCCATACATACATATAAATACGTATTACGTCTACGTATATGAAACGATATATTCTCTGGCATCATTATGTGTAAAATTTGAATTTATATTGAATTTTTCGTCCTTGCCGTTCTACACTCTGCTCTGGGATTATAATTAAATCATTTTACGGCATTTGATTTCCTTAAAGGCTAATCATAAGGAGAAAGCCTATTTGTGGGGCTCTTTTGCGTTGAATGCGGATTAAAGTCGGCTAGCCTGTTGGCCTGGCAGCATTGGAATTGATTGCTAAATAGCTGACGAAAGGTTAAATGGAGTTATTTGATTGGGGGAAACCAAAGATGATTGGTGAGATGTTGGGCAAAAGGAGAAAGTGAATCTGATAGCCCTTTGGCTGTTCTGATTCAGAATATAACGAAACTAAGGTTCAGTTTTTGCTCATTTAAATATTTACCTTAATTTTTTTGCACTCATTTATTTGTACAAATTTTTTGTGCAATATAATTCCCGAATAAACGTCTAGTTTCTTCCTTTTTCTCACAAATAAATTTCCTTTTATTTTAGTGCCTCTCCATCTGCGTGGCAACTACTTGATGCTCCAACTGTGTGCCACAAGTGAGTGCTGAAACTGCTACAACCGTGTGCCAAAAGGCAATGATAAAACCGCTCGAAACTTGCCGCAAGTCAACGCTAAAACTGCCCTCCAAATTGTGCCACAAGCCAGAGCTAAAATTTTAAAGTCAGATAAGCCCCAACAAGCAGCAACCAGCAACCAGCAACCAGCCACCAGCAACTCACTTACTTAACCTTTCGAAGGAACAGGAGCCCGGAGCCAGGAGCAATCTCATGTCAATCCCTCGAGAAACCTGTGGAGAAATGTGCCTATCATTGCTGCATGTCAATGTATCTGGCGAAATGTATCTTTCACGCTCAATTTATTTGTAATGGTGTTGAAAGCAGCCGCAGCAGCAGCAGCAGCAGTCGTAGTCGTAGCACGGAGCTTCCTCTGTGGGGAAAAGCCAGAACATGGCTAGGACTTAAAGCCATTTGGAGGTGGAGATGAGGGAAAAAATGCGTGGTGGCTATGGCACATTAGTGGCACCACCGAACAAAAATCCCCAAATCATAAACCGACGGACGACGGGGCAACTTTTCGCGAACGCATTTTTCATGTCGGAATCATGTTGGGGTCTATGGGAAAATTGTTGTCCCCCGAGAGGGCAGGGACTTACAAATGAAATAGCCGCATGTGTATCCTCCTAATGAAATAAACATGTTTATTAGATACAAATGCGTATCAGCAAGGGGGCTCTGCTTTTTGCTTTTTTACGGGTTTTTTCTTACTTTTTTTTTGCTGGTCCGCAGTGCGTATGATTAATATTAAGTGTAGCTGCCGGTACACACCTGTCCGCTTTGTAATTAATTGAATTATTTTTCTCAGGACGTGCCAAAAGGCATTACGCAGAAGGCAAAAAGGATCATGATGATGGGAAAGTGCTCAAAAGGAAAGGCCATAACGAAAGGCATTATAAATTCAAAGGGCATCAAAAATAGCGGAAATGCAATTAAAATTGTGCAAGTTTTCCACCCACCCACACAGCCAGCACAGCACAGCACAGCTATCACGTGGACCTGCTTCTGGGGTGGCGGGTAGGCGTTGGTCTGTGAGTGTGGCTAAGCACAAATTACCAACAGCTACTTGGGCGGCAGTGAAAAAAAGAGAGAGCTCCAGAGCCAGAGCCAGGACTTGCAACGGAATGCTGCAAGCGAAATGAGAGCTCTATTATGCTTAATTAAGCTTCTTTCCTGCTCTTGGAGGGCACTAAAGTTCCCTAGGGCAAGGGACACAGGCACAGGACACAGGACACAGGACACAGGCGGGTTAACTGAGGAGGCATCAAGTGCAATTGGCTAAATTATAGGAAAGAAATGACTGATGGAGAGAGGTCTACTACTGCTACTACTACTGCCTACAAGAGCTACTTGTTAGTTAGATATTGTTCTTTTCTTCATTTGGAAAGAGTCCGAAAAGTGGCTTAAAATTAATTGGAAACTATAGAAAGAATGAGGCAAGGAGCTCATAGCTATTTCTAGCTCTAATTTTTTAGTTTTAATAGCTGTAATCTTTTCTTGGGATTTATCATTTTTATGCTTCCTCCTAAGCTCTAGTATTGTTTACTCATCCACCGGTTGAATGACGAGTACCTTCCGCTTAGCGACTTCATTTAATTAGCCTCAAAACATACTCTGGAAAACTTTTGCAACGCTTAGAAGTGTTTACAACCCAATTGAAAACATGCAAATCGCCTTAAACTATTAAAATTAATCCATTAAAAAATAAGCAAAAAATACAGCTGCAGTGGCGAGAGAGAGGCGGAGGAAGGGAGGCACAGGTAAACGTGTATCCATTCAGTATTCAGTATTCAGTGCGGGGAATGCTAATGAGGTTAATGTTTGCATTGAACCCAAAAAATGGCAGAAGCCAGAAGAGGGACCCCTGGTCCTAACTTCATCATCATCATCATCGTCCTCTGCTCCTCTCTATTCTGGCTGCCATCATAAGCGCATCGCATCCGTGGGATTCCAGAAATGTGTGTGTGGTTGTATTCCTGGAAAAAGTTCAGACTGCGAGTCCAACAACTGGGGGTTGGTAGGACTTGAAGAGACCAACTAATCAAGGTAATGAAATCAGTTTTATTTTCGCTTATTTTTCCCTTTTTTCAATGCAAATAAAAAAAAAACATAAGGGGGAGCGGAGGAGTGTTTGCCACGGAACCCTCTCCGTTGTTGTCTGGCCGAAGGACTCCCTTCAGAATCTCGTTCTGTCTGTCTGTTTGTGAGGCTGTTTATATTAGAAATTAAAAGTATTAAAAATGCCAAAGGTATGCAAATCATTGCAGAACAAGGGGATGTAGCAGTTAGAAGATTAAAGAACTAGGCATATTAAAGGGGTAGGGATTGCGCCCTCCACGGGATAACCTTTGAAGTAGAAACCTACTATACACATTTGCCAATCATTAAAGACTTTACTTTCGTCTAAATTAGTTGCCACTACACAGCCATCAATCTCCACTTGTCACTTGCTTGCCTTGCCCCATGTGTCCTGTCCATTCATGAGGCTGAAACTTTCGAAACCACTAAAAAGTTGCAATAAAGTCCCCAAGTTGTTGCAACAATCTGATGAAGCTACGATACGAGTTGGCTAAACTTGCTGTTGCTGCTTGCTGATCTACTCTTCAGGCATTTCCGCTCTTGTGAAAATATTAATTACCAAAATTTCCACACACACACAGAGAGAGAGGGGGAGGGAGAGATAGAAATTTCCATAGGTTTCTGGTCTATGCTTTTTAGGGGGAAAATCTTGTCAGCAATTCAATTAGTGGCCGCTTGCATTTATCTTATTTAAATGCAGAACGAGAGACGGAGAGAGAGAGAAAGGGCGAAGAGTGTATGGGTATCTATATGTGTGTGTATGTGTGAGAGTGTCGTTATGGCAACGACAACGACTACGACAAGGAGTCGAAGGACTCCTCGCTACGAACACTCGTGACTTATGCACTGACGCAACCAATTATGGCTTAGGGGCAAAACTGTAACTGCAACCGTCTCGCCACCTTCTGTCCTTCGACATTTCCTCCCTTTCCTCTCAGCCCACACACACACGCACACATGTGCATACTTTTGTGGCTGGCTGTGTCTGCTGTGTGTCTGCGCACTTATACTCTCGTAAGGGCTTTGCCATTGCCGCCTCCGAAACTATGTCAAATGAAATTTCATGCTCTGCGACACTGAAATTTTGATTGTTTTCGAGTGTGGGATCCCGGCATCACCATCTTCGGCAGCGTACTATACTTTTTTTTTGTGATAGGAGGTGGCAGGATCCCCTGGCTTCAGCAGCAATATTTCACCAGCAATTGTTGAAAAGTTTCTTAATTAAATATGA